TTATCCAAAATTTTATATTGTTATAATATCTAATACTTTGCAAAGGCAGTCTTCCTAATTCACCATAAATAAAGTCGTTTTGTGTGGTTTTCTTTACTCTTAATAGTCTTTTGTAAAATTGCATAATATTAATATGTAAACGTTCTACGGCCTTCCCTTGATTAAAACCCAATACTTCACTTCCATAATTAAATATTGGTAATGCCATTTTATTGAAAAGGTCCAATTTATGCCTTAAAGATATATCTGTGAATTTATACACATATTTATCCATTTTGTAAATACCCTCGAGTGCTTGCCCAGCAATTGTATTTTGTGCTTTTTACATTAATACTGCAATACGAATTTTGCCATTTTATGCGGTGGATCCAAAATTGTCTTCTTGTTTATTGACTCTACTCCAAGTTTAAATATGGATGATTCCGTATCTGTGCATTGTGTGCTGTGATTTGTGCAGAGAAAAAGGACACGTTCGAATGTTTTCGCTTCTTTACTTGTAAGCCTGTTTTATTGAAGGAATCTTTTTCAATCTTGAGTTATTTTACTTTAGGCGTGTATATATATTCAATCAAGTTTTCTATTACATGTATATTGATATGGGATTAATTTGTTAGGCGGAATTTTATTTATATCTATATTATTTATATTCAAGTTTTCTTTCCTTAATTTCTCTTTTTTTCTCTCATTTTTTATTTAAGAAGCTGTATATCTCTTTCACGATATGTGTTAAGTCTGAATGAATCACGTCGACACTGCCAGTTTTGCGCATTTATCAGCTTGCTCATTCCTGGATTTCACCTAGAGTTATGAAACTTTACAGGAATGTTAGTCAACATGTTTAATTGTGCACCTGGGTATTTGTGTGTGGATTTATTCAGTATTTGTAGAGTTATTGCTCATGACTTAGTAAAACTTTGCTACTTTTAAATTGTGTCGCACGTAGCTCAAAAAGTATTTGACCAAAAGACATGAAAATGTACAGGAATGTTGCTCAGAATTTGAAGTTGTGCACTTGGGGTTTCGCTTGTCGATAATTGCTGTTTTGTCAGAGTTATTGACCTTGCCTTAGTAAAATTTTGTAAATTTTAATCGATGTCGTGCTTAGCGCAGAAATAATTTAACCAACAGTCATGAAACTTGACAGGAATTTGGTCAGCATGTATAGTTGTGTACCTGGGGTTTCGCTTTAATTAGTGCAAAAATCAATTTTCAACTGGGGTCTTGTGTTGTTAGAAAACACTTGACCAAAATCTTGAAACTGTAGAGAAATGTTGGTTGGTATGAGTAGCTGTGCACCTGTGGGTTTGATTGTGAATTTATGCAGTATTTGATGAATAATTGCCCTTGACTTAGTAAAAGCCGTCCCGTTATGTTGTGTTAGGTGTCCTTTGAGTGTTTTAGTTAGAATCATCCAACTTTACAGGAATAATGACAACATAACTGTAAAGCTGTGCACATGTGAAATCTTTTGCAGTTTTGTTAGAGTTATTGTCCTTACTTAGTATAAATTTCATATTTTCAATTTGTCCATGCATATCTCAAAATATATTCAACCAATATGCCTAAGGACAAATTTCTTGTTTTATTTATACCGCTTACACGGATTGTGGTTATTTCGCATGTTTAAAAGATGCGTATTTGATTTGTTCCATAATGGTTTTCTCGTTTATATTTCCAAAATCTGCCGTATTCAATTATTCACGCACTTGATGTACCATTATTCGAATTTATATATCATTTGCTTAAATATGAAGATGGTCCGCATACTTTCCAATAATACAGAAAGTGACCGTTACTAAGCTTCCGTTTCCGAAGAACACTTGTTATTCTTAATAAATTGTACTTCATTTTGAGTATACGATATTTTTATTTGTTTCTTTGTTAAAGTACGGAGTTTTTCGTTTTTAATTATTATTTATAGGCATTGTTGGCAACACTGACCTGATACACATAACTTTCGGGATGTTTTTCGTTAGTTTCCGTAGTTTGTTAAGATTTACTCCTAAGATTCTAATGATATTGTAGATCTTGATACTTAGTGATAAGAATAATTAGTAAAAATAAGTAGTCAACTGCAAATTCTATAATTTTCTTAAAAGGAATAAAGGTAAGAATAATGGAATTGCTACCACGTAGTTTCAATTTCAAATCTTGGACCAACCTTTTTGCGATTGTAATGAACTGGTTTTTTATGTTAATTAAACAAAAGACAAGTTTATAAAGTGTAAATTGCATCTTTTTGACCGCCAGTTATTGTGGTCGTGATATAATTCAGGCGACCGAATCATCAAACAAATGTAAACTTTGTGCTTTGATTTTTTATTTTGTATATCAAATTTCTGTATTGTTTCGATTATGTGTTCATTATCAAACTAAAGATTATTGGACTTCAAACACTTCCTTGTGGACATCCATTTACTGTCTCTACTCACTGGTCGTTTACTTTTACAAACTTTTCTAAACACAAAGGACTTAATTTTTGTAGATTTAGTTTTCCAAGGTATGCTGAAATAATGTCGTAATGGGGGAAAATGCGTTAGTCTCTCGATTGAAATTTCAAACTGTTAAATATGCATATTCATGAGGCAATATAGAGACAAATCTGCCGTGCAGGGTCTGAATAAGTATATGGCTGGATACCGGATCCTGTTCCTTACAAGCAAAGCACAAAAACATTTAACAAACTAAACTACTTGTAGTATGAACCGGAATAAAAATCGTCTACCTGTTCTTCCCACAAATAATCCTCCATCTTGAAAATTCAACATTGAGCCGGAAAACGAGATACTGTAACACGTTCCCTACGGTGATATTTACTTTATTAAATGCCTTTCTACCGTCCGCTTTAAGCCGATAATCCGTCCCGAGAGCTATTTATTAAGCTTTATAAACTGTTTGTCGGACCGTACATGTCAGAGGCCTTATTAAAAGAAATTAAAAATTAAACAAACTAAAAAAAACCCCAAAAAACGTATATGTCACGTCTTTCTTTACCGCAGATGAAAATTGACAATTTTGACAAACTCAAAGGCATAAACTCAAGCATAACTACGAAAAACGACAAGCAACCGCCAGTTGAAAAAAACTATATGCTTACAAACATTCATGTAAATTTTCATGACCTTAGCTCAGGTTCTGTTGGAGCTACACGAGAGACAAGTTGTGAATTGCAATTTTGACTAAATTGAAGGCAATAACTCTGGTATTTCTGCCCGATTCGACAAACCAAACCTTAGGTGACCAACATTTCATGACCCTAGTTATCCTGTTTTTCAAAACTATGCAGCACGCAATAATTTTGGATGGACGCACGCGCGTATGCACAGACGCACAAACGGACAAACAAGAGTAAATCTAAATGCCCAATGTCTTTGATCCCGGTCATAAATGTTTATTTTAAAATCAATAATTACCGAAGGCACTCTAATTAAACGAACAGTTTGACTGTAATGTTGTTAGAATTTATACAAACAGTTTGTCTGTAATTTTGTAAGAATGGATTTAAAGCATGTTAGCAGCTTATCACCTGGAGAAAAGAAATTCTTGAAAAGAATTATTTTCTATAAGAATAGCAAAATGTAAACACTTCCATTCAATGTACTAAATCACTTTAACAGTAGTTATTGCCAATATTCAAAAGAATCACATGATCACTCACTGTATGGCCAATAAGTACTCTTAAGAAATTTCAAACAGCGTTCCAAAAGAAAATAGCTTTTGAAAAATGAAAAGTTTAGTTGGGAGGGGTCAATGGGCCTTTTAGAAACAAAAGATATTTGACCAATATTTTTGGACCAAGGTACTCACTGACCCCCCTGTGTATTGGAAGAGTAGACATCTTTCCTAAGAAAATAATTTGCAAAGCGGCGTGGACTTAAAAATACTTTGCTTGTTTTTGTTGTTGATAATAATGATGATGTTGTTGTTGCTGATGATGAAGATGATGATGCATCGTTGACGATGATGAGGGCAAGATACTGCTGCAACTGGTGACGACGACAATGATAATGATTGGTTTTATGTGTAAATTTTTGTGACATAAACGGTCAAGCATTTACTGCCAAATTTCAAAAATTCGTTTTGAGCGTAAAGGAAGCTGTGATTAATTCGGCCGAATATATTTTACAAGTGTGACATATACATTCCGTGACATATAAGGTCTAGCAGACGTTCGTTTTTAAAATAGAAGATCGTGAAACAAATCGTCCGCTTTACTAATTAAAATATTGAGAGCGGATCGATATATTAGAATTTTCAAGGGTTTTCCATTTTATCTTCGGCAAATTTGATTTTCCACCTTAATTGTCTATAATATGAAACTATTTATCTAAAAGTAACAGTGTTTGCCTTTAGGAAGCGTACTAAAGGCCACTTTATATCCCACGGTTGCAAACTCAACTACGATCATTTGGTGACTGATATTTTGTTTTCAAGTGAGCAAATCTATTTCAATTCAAAGCTATTGAAGTAACATATTTTGAAATATTTGGGCCTGTCCATATAAATGTAAACTTCAACTCATGTTTTGCTACCACGAGTCCAATAACAAACATTTACTGGTGGTATGAATTTATATAATGTAAACATGAACTGATGTATTATTATTTTTTTTTAATGACATAGGTTTTTTGCTATTATATTTAAATAATGTAAGAATCAAATAATGTATAAACGTTGTTTGTCTTTTCACTTATGACATCGGCTGCATTTATAGCATATGTGTTAAATTGCCTAAATTGATTTAGAAAATTATATCACATTACGTAGGAAGTCGTTTTTTTCAATATTTAACGTGTATATTACCAATACCCTAGATAAGTTTAAACAACGAGATTGATTTATGACAAATATTGCTTTCTGAAAAGAGATTGTTTGTTCATAATGTACAATTGTTATCATAAATTCCAAAGTTTGTTTTAATAAATACGTCAGTACAGCTACACTAAGAAGATTTAACTTTTATTAATCTATTAAAGTCGCTTATTGCTTTGATATTACAGATAAACTAACTGCAAATGATGTTGTTTTTGTCAGAGGCATTCAATGTGTGAAAAAAGGCATTGAAGGCAACTTTGGAGAGACACGCAAATGTTTTCAAGTCAACATGGGCAAAACTACTGAATGTTTCGTATGTTCAATTGTTATGATTTATATCTCTTTATGGAAGTCTATTTCCTCTCGCCGAAATGCATCTAATATGCATTATCCTACAATGTAAAGTACAATTTATCCAATTATGTTATAATGTAAGTAAATAAATAAGACACTTTAAAGTGTTAAACGGTATATATCTGCTGTCTGCAGTGAAAAAACAACTTTAGTTTGCAACAAGTATACAGTGTAATTTATCAATGAGGATCACCGCACATATTAATAATGCCATTTTTTATGTGCTTTGTCTTGTTGCAATAGAAATAAGGCTGCGTAGGATTTCAATTTGTTTCGAAAATGTTCTCCTGCTTACGTTTAAAAAACAAGTTTAGGGATTCTGTATTTATCTACTATTACTAGTATTTGATTAGGTCTTGCTGTTCAAAACTACATAAAATATATTTCAAAGAAATTTATAACTATTGGAGAATATTTTGATCATTTTAGCCAGGAAACCCAATATTTGGATCGAAGGAAAATAAAATTATGTTGCAAGGACTTACAGTAGCATCATTAGATTCTTGCTCATCATCGTTTAATGCATATGCGCCGATAAAACCGCAAGTGAGATGGATAAACACGGTCATTTTGGGTATTTATCACGATTCAATACTTCTGTTTTTGTTATTGTGATTACGTACATAATAGTGATGGAATTAGGATTGTCTTCCTTGTACTAAATAATAGAAAGTAATATCAAAATTTATTCATGCACATTCTTTATACGCCTGAGCAATTTCGGCGTCAATTGTTTTATGCACTTGGTTGTCTGTCTGTCAGTCCGTCTGTTAGCAATTTCGCGTTCAGTCAGCTTTGTATGGACCAAAAGAAGGGGGTCACGTAGTTAATATATACTTATTTAAGTTTTATTGTGTCAAATTAAAATGTCCAGAGCAAAGATGTTTTGCATGTAGCATTGATTTGTTGGCCTCTACAAAAGTGACATAAATCATGACACTTATATAACTCTTCTATTTTATGTTGACTTGTAAAAAATATTATGAAATATAATGCTCCTATAATTTATAATGCCCAAAGCTTTGAAAGTGGTATATACCATAAATTTCTAGTCTTCAAGCGCAGCACAAATTGAGCCAGATCTTAACAACTTTACCAGAAGTGCTCATCTACTGACTAAGGCCAATGCACTTGTTAGTAAGTGAGAGGATCGTTGGCCAATGGGCTGTCGTGTTATTGGTTTGAAACCATATTAAAATACAAGTCAATGTGGCCTTGACTTTTGACCCCTTAATCAAAATAATTTGGGACATCAACTTGCAAAGTCCAATGCACCTGTTAAGTTTTTGAGCCGACGAACCATAGGTCAAAGTGTTACTGGTCGGAAACCATTTTTATCGCAAGGTTAATGTGATCTTGATATTTGACCCTTTGACATCAAATAAATAGGTCATTCATTGGGAAAGACTTATGCACCTTTGAAATTTGAGGGTTTTTGGATTTTTCAGTTTTTGTTAGGAAACTGTTCATTCATTTTAGATTAATGTAATCTAAACCTTTGACCCCCTTACTGTTCTTACTACTCAATCCACGGGGGGAAATACCATTATGTGAAAAAAGCCGAACGAGAAACAAAAAGGACATAGTAATGACACTCTTCTGATTAAAACAGATATTTTATTACTTTTTTGGATCTGTTTTCCTTATTAATTTAGAAAATTTAAACTGTGTCATACATAACTTATTAAAAACAATATTTGAATTTGTACGATTTGGTGTGTAAGTAAAAAGAAATAAAAGATTCTAGCCCTGTTAAATTAAATCAAAATTGAAAAGTGACGTTTGAAAATAAATCAACCGTAAATAGGAGCGTCCGTGACCGTTAAATGTAATCATGTTTTATAGTAGATTAAAATATTTTTTTTTTACATTACCTTATTCCAGATATGTCGCATGTTTGATTTCTTTCAATATAAGATATGACAGTGTGAAAGGTTTCTATCAGAGTAACAATTTTAATTGTTTTCAGAATCTTACATTTCAACTAAACTGATGTAAAATGTGCATGATGTTATTCTCTTCGATTGTTTACACACTGTTTTTGAACTTGTGGGGTCTTAGATGAGGTTTTTCTTAGTTGAGGTGAAACAGAGCTAGAGTGAAGCAAAAAATATGGATAATAAGATACAACAAAACAAACAAACAATACATATCTTAAAAGTGTTTACTTTAAATCGAATCTACAGTTATATATTCCTGCCGTGCCTGTTCCATAAGAAATAACTTGGGCAAATTGCATTTTGGTCATATGTTTTCAGTGTGTTAATTCCTACACCGTGCTGTTGTCATGCATTAATTGTATGTATTATATTGAACGTACGAAAACTTTGGTGATTTTAAAACAATTTTACAGATTGTGGCGCAGTAAAAAACATTCAAAATGGAAAGATTTCTCTCGACAAAAAATCAAAAACGTCTGTTGGAGCTACGGCTACAGTTGAATGTGATCAAGGTTATCTAGCAAGCCAGCAGAAAATTGTCTGTCTAAATACCGGAAAATGGCAAAAATCCATTTGCGCAATAAAAGGTAAAATTAAGTTGATATTTTTATATATGAAAATAAAAATAATAATGTCTTTATATATATGATGTTGATGAATATAATTGTCACACAAAGAAATTGTTTATATATTTGAAACAACAACACATAGGACACGCAAATAGGATGATGTCACTAAGGTCGGTGATGTTCTGATGATATGCCATTTTGTTTTTATAAAATAAAGCATGTAGTACTATATGAAGAGATTGAAAAAAGAGAGTTTTCTCTGTGTTGATTTCTATTGAAATAATCAATTCAGTTATTCATTACCAATATAATTGTGTTACCTTTGCTCTTTATGTGCTCAAACAGTGCAATATGTAATGATGAACTACCATAATAACCAATGAGATGCTGTAATGTCTAAAATAAAAGTTATTTGTTAATAAAGTAATTATTTTAATTAAAATTAATTCAAAAGAAATAATGGCAAACCAATACACGACAGAGTAGGGTCGGAAGGTGCTAATCGGCCCACAAAATGAATAATGGACCCGTGGGCATTTTTCATTTCAGGACCGATTATCATCTTCTGGCCCCTCTATGGTGTGTATTAATGTTTTTATTACACTTGATAGTCCTAAGAGAAGCAGTTTTATTTTTAATTTACTTTGATATTTCTTTCCTTGACATTCCTTTTTCTGTACATACATTTCAACTGTTACGTACAGTATTTTATACAGCGTTGCTTCCCTTATTTGTATCCGACATAATTAAGAAAGTTGACACAATTAATGTTTTCGGAATGAAATTGCAGCTAGTATTTTATTTCTTTAAATCTCAATAAAGCTGTGTTTGTAGCATATGTTCTAATTCTAAAATCAAGCTATTCGTGCTACAATCCTACTTTCACTTTCACACCAAGCTGATTTGATGACTAAGAATGTGACGTCATTGTTTCAGTTTGTGCACCTACTCGTGTTCAGCGGGCCTTAATGATTATCAGTTATCGGCCCCGGGCAGCAAACTAATAATCGGTCACGTGACACTCATAATCACTACTATATATAGTAACAAGAGTATAAAGATTAAGTTTTGTGTTGATGGTAGTGATGCTGTAAGATATGACTTTTATTGCTTACATTTCCTTATAGATTGCCATATAAAGACATGGAAAATTAATAAAGCTTCTTTCATATCATATGACATAAGTCCATGTATAAGTGCATAAAAGTTTAATAGATTATATAGGACCCATAACATATTATTGTGTACACTTTATATTTGGACTACTTTCGTTCTCTGCATGTTAAAAAGCATAACAATGAAACGAAAACAAAGAAAGGCAAACTATTCCAAGCAATTAAATTCAAAGTTTAATAATATGCATAGATTTACAGGAAAGGTATAACAATGAATGAAGTAAGGCTCCATGAATTCAACTGAAATTGTTTTTTTTTGTAATTTTTCTTTTCATTCCACTTTGTTTTCAGGTCCTTTTATATAATTATTTTGTAATATTATGTGGTTTTGTATGTGAGTATATCACAAGTAGACAACGTATAACTCAAATGAGAAAAAAGAGACACAAGTGTGTTCTATGACTACAAAATTCATACTCGAGATAAACTCTGAACAAGAACTGCTGTACTACTTTCTAAGCATGTGCATGTATACATATATATTAACACTCTCATATTACAAGTTGATGACCAAAATAATGACCAAATGTTGAACAGATATTACACAAAGTTCTCCAAATCAACTTTAAAAGATGGAGATAACTTAAGTATGACTAAAGTATGTAAAATTATTGTGGAATTTGTATGTTTTGTGACTAAAATTGATATTTAGGTCACAATACATACTTTTCCTATTTGAGACATTTAGTTTAATTTCCACATAGCGGAAAAAACCAGTTAGAGGACTTGCAGTGTCAAAGAGCCATAACATATTTTAATTTTCTCCCTTAAAACAAAAAGTGCATGTCCTGCATGTATAAAGTACATTGTACAAAGTCGTTATTCTATCATCATTTTAAAGTAGAGTAAAGTAAATATCCCGCTTGGTTCTATCTTTTTGGTGGAGGATAAGTAATCTGAATATCGAAAGACTTATAAACTAGATACATAGACACCTTTGTTAATGAAAACAAATCAATATATATTTAACTGTTGATATATACAATATTGAACAAATTGTGATTACATAACATCTCAGTGAATATTTGGATGAATTTAATAGATTACAAATAATGCCAATTAGATCACAATCGTACTGCCATCAAATCTGATGTATAATAATTTATTAAAAAAAGAGTCAACAAGATATATAAGCTATTTATTCTTGTCAGTTAAACAAGTACTTCAGTAACACCTGTATTCCAGGCTAGTAGTCTCAAAGACTTATGTCAGTGTCTTGCTGTATATAAAGCAAAACTATTTTTCTCAAAATTTCCTTGAAATTTCAGTATTTCCCCACTATCCGGGAATAGAAATATATTCCACTATCTTTTGAAATGTAAATATTTATTTATTATATGCCAACCTTGGTTGTCATGAGTTCATAGACGTTCCATCATTGGGTCTAAAGAGTAACATAATATTCAAAATAAAAAGATATTAATTCGAATGTATAAATAATATGTAATATAACAGAATCAAGTCCTTTGGTTTTGTTAAATTACTGATAGAAATGTAATGTCATTAGCAGGTCCCTGCGACCGGTCATTTTTTAATGACTTTACAGAATTATATAAACGTTTTAAACCTTTTTTCTTCTGACTAAAATTTGTTCAAAGGATACCCTTAAATGGCCGTACATTAGTATCATCATGCATTGTCTTGTTATCGTAAAACTTCATGAAATTTCAGTGGGTAAATGTGAACAACTTCGAATGTTTTTACCACATTTCTATACATTTTCAGACTGTGGTCCTGTTAAAAAAATGTTACGTGGAAGAGTTATCCTTGACAAAACAAAGACGTCGACATATGGAGCAACAGCGACTGTAAAATGTAGCCCTGGTTATAGACCTAATCAAAAGAAAATAGTTTGCTTGGATACAGGGGAATGGGAAACAGCAAGATGCAAAATCAAAGGCAATGTTCAGTATTTATTAGATCCAAATGAATTACCGACGTTAATAACTTCTAAATATATGATATTAAAAATATAACTAAACTGTTTGTTAGTACCAATACTGCTGACTCGACTCACTTGTGATTGCTTTATGGTCTGTAATGATTTTCTCTTTCTTTTTTATAAACTGTCCATGTTATTTACAAAGAACTATATGTAAGCTATGCTAGGCAGGTACCAGTGAAACAACTTTAACGATTAAAAATCTTGAGCATGAAAATACTGTTATAACAACAAAATGAATGATTGCAAAATGTAATAAATGTTTAATTGTTATAAATCGGTTTTGAAGAAGACTGTTTAGTTATACCAACGCATTATCAGCTTTTTCGAAGGTTGGTCTCACGTTTCATGACAAAAACATTCTAGCTAAATTATTTTACCTCTCTTTTACCATTTCGTCACGTCATAATGTAATTTCTTGTTTATGAACATGCGTTACGTTTCATCAAATATATAAATCAAGAGGTATATGAAAACATAAATTACCAATATGTATATATACAAGGAAATATGCTTCCTGCTTCTTTAAAATACATTTTCAAAGAGCAAATAGAATAATGGCAAACAATATCTTATTAAATGCATAAAATCATCTTTAAAATATGTTAAACACATACATTTTATACTCTTTAGTACAAACGTTTAATAAAAATTCAATCAAAATATATTTAATTGTACGGAGCCCCTAAGGTGACATTTTCCACACTTTTTCCCCGGAATTTTATTCGTTTTTACGAAATAATAATTCGTTATTACGAAATAATAATTCGTTTTTACGAAATATTAATTCGTAAATACGAAATATTAATTCGTAAATACGAAATATTAATTCGTTTTTACGAAATATTATTTCGTTTTTACGAAATATTTATTCGTTTTTTACGAGATATTAATTCGTTTTTACGAAATATTAATTTGTATTTACGAAATATTATTTCGTAATTACGAAATATTAATTCGTAATTACGAAATATTATTTCGTAATTACGAAATATTAATTCGTTATTACGAAATATTAATTCGTTTTTACGAAATATTATTTCGTAATAACGAAATATTAATTCGTAAAAACGAAATGTTATTTCGTAATTACGAAATAATAATTCGTAAATACGAAATAATATTTCGTAAAAACGAATTAAATTTTTTCTAGCGTTTCAAAGAGTTTTGGTAATAGTTATCAATTAGGCCTCAAAACTAAGTTCCTGACTTAATATAAGGCATGTACATGCAATATAAATAGTGATTTTTGTTCTCCCCAAGTTTTTTAACTTTACACTATTGTACATAAATTAAAATATTCGCATGTCAATAGCGTTGAGCCACACCCGTGATAGTACACGCGCTAGGAAAATTTACTTAAAATGGGGGTCCTGTGCTTCAAATCCAAACACGGACATTTCTAATACTAAATTGTGAGGAAATATGCATTTTAAATTGATTAGATTAGTGAAATCTGGACCAACCCCCTCCTCGTCCCATTAGTTTTACTTATGTATATGATAAAAGAACGGAATAATATAGCATGTTTCTGTTTTAAAGATACATGTCGTAAAAGATTGCCTCAAACATTAAAACATTGCTGATAGGAACATGTATTTGACAATGGGGAAAAAAGACCATTTTGGACAGAGAATGACTTCTCACTCAAAAACCCTGTTCACTTTAATATAATAACTTGAGAACCATTCGGCTTATAATCGCAAAGTTGATCAAGGCATGTAAATGACCCATTTGTGAGATTAATAGGTTCTTTATCAAGCTCAAAATGACCTTAAATACGATTTCGTAAAAACGAATTAATATTTCGTTATTACGAAATAACTTTTCGTTTTTACGAATTTATATTTCGTAATAACGAAATAATATTTCGTAATTACGAAATAACATTTCGTAAAAACGAATTAACATTTCGTAAAAACGAATTAATATTTCGTAAAAACGAATTGATATTTCGTAATTACGAAATAACATTTCGTTTTTACTAATTAATATTTCGTAATTACGAAATAATATTTCGTAAAAACGAATTAATATTTCGTAAAAACGAATTGATATTTCGTAATTACGAATTAATATTTCGTAAAAACGAATTAAATGCCGGGGAAAAGTGTCGAGAATGTCACCTTAGGGGCTCCGTATAATTGTTTATATTCGTACAATATTGAAGAAAATGTGTTTACATTTTAATGAGTAAAGTAAAACTATCCTGGACAACTAGTATTTCCTATTGTGTTGAGAAATATGAATATTTCCAAATTATATGCCAACCTTGTTTGACATTATTATTATTATTATTATTTACCAAACTTATATAGCGCCCTTTTCATATACATGTTCAAAGGCGCTTTACAATGATATAAACTAATAACTAATTACAGCAGTACAATTTAAAAACTAAAACAGCATTCACATAATAAATCTACGACATAATAAGAACAAGAATATGAGACAATCAATTAAAATGTGGTATTTACCGTTTTACAATGATATAAAAACTAATAACTAATTACAGCAATACAATTTAAAATACTAAAACAGCATTCACATAATAAATCTACGACATACTAAGAACAAGAATATGAAACAATCAATTAAAATGTGGTATTAACTTAGTCGTTTAGAATTAAAATAATTGAATATCGACAACATACGATAAAATATTCTAGCGAAATTTCTAAAACACCAAATTAGAAATAATGTATTTTATAATCAACACCTTAATTATTTGTAACTGTCTTAAAAATATTAGCAGAATTAAAACAAATTGTAAAATTATGGTTGATATCACACAGTAGTCACACAGTTTTCTAAAATCACTGTCTCAGATTATTCACGATAATGAGTTCATTGACGTTCCTTCGTTTCTCTTACAGAATTTAAAGTTTAGCAAACGCTAGTATCACTTCGAACTATAAATAATTTGCGAACTGAATTAAGTTATTTGGTTGTCACTTTACTTATTGAAACATTATGTCATCAACTGGTCACTGTGACCGGTCAATCTTTTATTATTCAAAATATTTTAAGAATATTTGTAACGATTGTCCTTTGACTGAAGTTTGTTCAAATGGTACCTTCCATTAACCGTACATAAGTACCAGCATGCATTGTCATGTTATCGTTATACTTATTATTTAAGTGGGTGTATATGATCTACTTTAAATGTTTTAATTTGTTTGCCATATGTCTGTACATTTTTAGACTGTGGTCCTGTTAAACAAATTGTGAATGGAAGAGTCACCCTTGACAAAACAAAATTGTCGACATATGGAGCAACAGCGACTTTAAAATGTAATCCTGGCTATAGCCCTAATCAAGTGAAAATAAGTTGTTTAGATACAGGAAAATGGGATGCAGCAAGATGCAAAATCATAGGTAGTGTTCAGTATTTATGAAATACAATTTAAGCACAGTCGTTGTTAACTTCTTAATTTATGATTTTAAAAATATCATTAAACCGCATGATAATACCTCTGTCGAAATTCACATCTAACTGCTTATAATACTTGTACATATTGTATGTAACGTTTTTTTTCTTTTACGTAAATAGTTTTGTCATTTATTATTTGTCTATGTACTAAATGTAAGTTATACTAGATTAAGAATACCGGTAAAACAAAATTTAAGACTAAAAGTCTTAAACATTTACCGGTAAATACCTTTATAGTAGAGGTGTCATCGTTAAGGATTTTTATATCGATATATCGGCAATGAATTATCGGCGATACAGCGATATATCGATTGCCAGGCTAAATTTTAGCTTTCAAGTCTTTTTAAATGTTTCCTAAGGACACTGACATAGTAGTTATATATAGACAAATGCAAAAAAAGATAAGCTATGAAAACTGAACAATTTGTTTCTTTTTTTATACAGCTAAAAATGAAAACTAATGACTAGTAACTATAAAGTTTAAAGCCTTTTCCATTTTGAGTGAGACTAAATAAAGGATTGGAGCACCACACTAAATACCGTATTCCGGTAAATACCGGACAAGGCGCTTGAATCGTAAAATGCCAAAATCTTGCTTTTTTACGCAACGGAATGAACTTTAATAGGTCTAATTCATCTTTTCACACTGATTTATGTATGATAATGCATGAAAAATGTTAAAATCAGCGAAAAAAACGATATTTGTCTATTTTGTGATCATGATTTCTGCAAGCGTCTAGAGGTACTACTCCAATCCTGTATTGAGCTAAATCCTTCCATTTTACTTTTGTTGTTGTTGTTGCTATTACGTAGTTACTGATCATGCTAAATCCCGTCCTAGCCGCTCAAATAAAGCCGGGTTTAATTGGCAAATTGTAATGTTTAGAACCTGAATATTTATTAAAGTTTAACATTTTGTAATCATGATTTTTACAAAGAAACACTGACAATTTTTTCTTGGCATTTTCCCTTTCTAAAATCTGAATTGAGGGGTCTTGACATCCACTTAGCAGACGTGCGAGATTACAACGAAATTAGGCAGCATTCGTTAAAAACACTGGGAGGTAACTTTGGCATTGATTTCCGTTTTCATTTTTAGAAAAAAAATGTTTCTGGCATCCATAACTTTACATGTCGCTTTTATTTTGACGTTTTGTGACAGTAAACAGGTCTGTCAGTTGTATAAAACCTGTTCGCTGACGTCTCTTTAGCTAAAAATATATGTGCATTCGATATCCGATATTTAAAAAATGGAATCGATATCGAATCGGATAACAAAGATCGTTGATACACCGATATCGATTGAATCGATGACACCCCTACTTTATAGGTAATTTCAACAAAACGATTATTAGTATTTTTCTTAAGATATATACTTCACACTTCAAAAATATATTTATCGGCCACATTATATTTGACAAGGTTCATGAGTCTTGCGCTAAGATAATGAGAATAACCGTCCATTTTTAGTTAATTGAATGAAAGTTTCACACATGCTCCACTCGCTGTCAATAGAATATACCGAGGAATTCTTTCTTTCAATGTATTCTATAATAGTTGTTATCAGAATATAAACAATAATTTTACTATCTACGTTTACTATCTATGTAATATTAAGCTTTTAACACTTGAGGCAACTTAAAAAAGCATATAACACATAATTAAAATAGGTTGAATATATGTCTGTACATATTCACATCGTACAATATATCTTATGTGTGACCTCTTTTTTCTTACCTTAAATATTTTCATTTGGTTGTGTTGCTATTTTTTCCCAAAGTACTTTATGTTAGGTTTGTAAGAAATTTTCGAATATGATATTTTTTACCCTTGGATATCGATAAATTTGAATCATTAAAATTAAAACAAAACCAGTGTCTGTTGAATATAGGTCATGCTTTTTTCATAACATTAAAATACACCTGTCAATATGCCTATATAGATGTAGTTTATCAGTTGTATACAATCAAATTAATCCTTTTCCACGAGTATACAATAACTATGCAAATTCTTATTTAATTGATGTTTACATGTTCTACTTCTGTGACGACACGTGACATTATCAGGTTATGACATTTCTCAGTCTTCTGCTAAATTTGCTAAACTGATACCTTTTTGATCAAATGGTGAATACTTCAAGATGCTTCGAAACATTTTATATCCATCTTTCGAATATTTAAACTAATCATTCGTTGATAATCGTCTAATAATTAATTTATCTTACTTAACACATTTTACGCGAAGTTATCCAGTAAGGCTTTACACAGCGGACGATTACACTACCTTTTGGGTATATAGCGCAGTTTCGATGCAGCGATTTTATTCAGGCTGCACAAATACAATACGAATAAACTCTGTTTCTTTTAAAAACAATATAAAATGGTGTTAATAATGTTCAAAATTCACATAACTATTAAAAAGCGTAGATTATTAAATTAGTTTCAGCCATTCAATATCCGAAAATGGAACATTCCCAGACAAGAATTTATAGTCCTTTTCAAAAAAATAAATGGAGTAACACACTATCACTATTGTCAACCCCGTTAAGCAAACAATCTGTCACGTGACCTCACAAGGTATTCTTGTTCAAATGTATTATTCGCTGTATGCTCACATGCTTGTAATCATTGCTTGAGCTAAATAAAGTTTATGTTGTTGTTGTTGTTGTTGCAAATGTCACAATTATTCGTCTGTCATTTATTTTATATCATTTCACTTAATCATGAAAACGTCTTTAAAAGTTATTTCAGTTTAAGCGTGGCCTAAATTGCTGCATTTCTGAAGAAAATTTATCTGCGTCATTTTCTTTCAAGATGAGGAAAAAGCATAATACTCATTTATGCCATGAGATGTTTTTTTTAAGTAAATAGCATAACAACATTGGTTTTGGTTCATGAAGTGTAATGATAAGATCACAGCTACCTTGAATCAAAAGGAAAGTTCCTCCCAATAACATACAAATGGCTTATTATGCACTTTTCAAACATTTATATTAATTTCACTTTTTGTATATCATTTGCATGACACGAGATTTATTATTGCCGATACAGATATTTTGAATATAACACCATTGCTTCTTATGTTTTATCGTCAAGATTTAAATTTAAAATATTTATGAACGGACTTGCATTTACTAGTACCGTCCATGAACTGGCTAAATCAAACCAAGCCTGCAACATTTCCAATTATTTTGTTTTGCTCTGTTTTCCCTATTTGATCATTATTTAGACTGTGAAATTCCTTCAAATGTGGTCAATGGTTCTTTGCTTTTTTCCACAACAACGTATGGATCAAACGCTTCTCTTGTTTGTGATAGAGGATATAATGGAAGCCACACAACCATAAGTTGCCTTGACAATGGTAGTTGGGAAATAGCAACATGTGAAATTAAAGGTATATAACAATAAGAATGCATTTCTTCATCTTTTAAATGACTTTTTGTCCACATATTATTATTTTTTCATATATCAATATTGATAATAACGTATTATTTATAATCACTCTAAAATGTTAAAAGGTTTTGGAGCGTAAAGTTCTCCTTTTACTCATTTTTATTTGTTTGGTTCGTCAGACCAAACAAATAATGGTATAGAAATTTCAGACCCTGCTTTGCATATTTGCAAAATCCGAAAGGAGTCCAAACTTCTCGAAGCGATTACTTCCCTTTATAAGTATATTAATGCCGAAAAATTAAGGGGAAACCCTGCGTCAAGATTGTCAAATGACAGGCGCATTAATTTTTAAGCCTTTTCAAGGAAGAAATAAGTTCCTGATTGGTCGAAGATTTCTAATATTGTGTTATTCTTTACAAATATACATGCCTATATAGAGATCCATGATTTAAATACACCAGTGTTAAACAACAGGTTTACGTGAACAAAATATATCTCGAAATTAAAAAGGGTTACACGCTCGTTTAGGAAGCGAGAGGTGTTGAGTTCAAATCCCTGTAAAAACAACTCATGTATTTTTTGTTTTCTTTTAATTCTTTAAGCCAAATAAACAATGAATTAATTAGTCTTCCATCGCCATATTAGTGAATTCGAATTGTATCCCTTTATTATATCATGATTCCATTTGCCACAAAACATGAAAAGGACATTTTGAAAAATAAAGTCGATGTAACGTTTTGCCTTTACTTATTTACATATGGATTTATATATTTCTTACCATGTTCAGTTGCTGATATTTGTAGTTAATATGAACAGACAAAATTAACTCCATTTTTCGACGTTAAAGTTTGCGTTCCACCTCAAATATTTTCATATTCCATTGAGTGAAATTATGCACACTTCTTTGCAAGCACAATATGACTCTCTCCAAGGCTTATAACTGCACCATGGATTTAAAGAAAAACTTTGTTAACATTGACAATTATACTTTATCAATTTTATTAAATATCTGACATCTCTCTCATGGACAGTGCATACGATAAGTATAATTATGCAAATGTAAATGATTTACAAAACATTCAGAACAATGTACAAAAGTAATCTAAATAGAAAATGACCTTTGCGTAGGAATCACTAGGTAAGATATTCTAACCTGCGTAATTTTGTGTCAAGGTTAAGTTAATCATTTTACATTTTACTAAGGTGATACAAAATAGAATAAAAAGACAACAATAATTGATTTCGGTTCAGGACGCTTAAATGTCAAGGTAACAGTAGTCTTAAGTCTGTACAAAGTAACAAAAGTATTAAATACTAGGCAACCTTCAAATTGCAATCTGTAACTGACACACTCCTGTTCTTTGCATGGGTCATGCAATCAAGGGTAATCGTTACAATGAAGTTGCATATAAAACACTTCCCGCTTATGTTTAACGTCATGATATAAACTGTAAAATTTATAAATGAATTGGACTATTTTTCAGACTGTGGGTTTCCCTTAAATGTGGCCAATGGTAATTTGCACTATATAGCAACAACGTTTGGATCAACGGCTTCCCTTGTCTGTGATAGAGGATATGATGGAAACGGGACAATAAGATGCCTTGACACTGGAAGTTGGGAAACACCACCAACATGTTCTATTAAAGGTCAATTTTAAATTGTATCAATTTCAATTTTTGTAAGATATTATTAAAACTTTTGTTAATACATTCATTATGTATATTTTTAACTATAATGTAAGCCCAGACGTAAATGAATTGTTAAAGTATTATATGTATTGCTGTTTATGTTATATAAATAAAGAGCTGACACCATTTTACTTCATAGATATTGTACATATTTTCCTTTTTTAATCTTAATATTGTTTTCTTTCCTTAATTGTCTGATGTTATTAATGAAATATCATATTTTGCTATTCACAACTGTACCGCAAGGACAACGTTAAAAAATTAAAATTTGTAACAGGAAAAAAACAACAACTTCATGGTAGCATAACACTACCGATAAAATATTGAATCTTGTTCATGAATTTTAAGATTTTAAGTCACAGTGATCTGACACAAGATATATGTTCGTCCCAATGCCTTACAAATATGTTATGTAATAAGTAATTGACTCTTCAATTTCAAACTGAAATATTAAAAAAACGTCGTTGTATTTTAGCTGACCAGAGCATATTTTGCTCATATTTGTAGTTCAACAAATAACAACGTTCTTCATGTGATTTGTTGTGATTTTAAACCGTTTGTCGGCGTATGTCAGTACGTCTTTGCTATCAATCTGGTGTTAAGTATCTATGTTTGTTTTAAATATGGCTTCGTGTAATAAAAAATAGCTTAAGGAATATGCTATGTTGATATTGACATTTGGGAAACTAGAACATGGGTCGTTAAAGTATATTGAAATGTGTTCATAATTCGTCCTTTTTAAACATTCAGAGAGCTCTTTTCTATACATTTTGACCTGTATATATTTGTTATACAAATTCAAGAGTGGAAAGCTATATCCTATAGCCTTTCTAAAAAAACAACATGTTTAGAAGCTATTCTTTGTGAAATGGGCGATGATTGCACGCAGTCCCCACTCGCTGTCACTAAAATATACGGAGAATTTATTTCATTCTAGGTAAAGTTAATAGTTACAATGAAGATGAATGTAAACCGTTTTTCCGCTAATGTTTCACGTCATGATATAAATTTTAAACGTAACGAATGAAAATTACTAATATTCAGACTGTGGATCTCCATTGAATGTGACCAATGGTAAATTGCACTATAACGCAACGACGTTTGGATCAACCGCTTCTCTTGTCTGTGAAAGAGGATATGATGGAAACGGTACAATAAGCTGCCTTGCCACTGGCAGTTGGGAAACCCCACCAAAATGTTCTATTAAAGGTCAATTATTATTATGAATTAATTTCAATCTTTGTTAAATACTAAGAACATTTGTCAATACATTCATTATGTATATTTTTAACTACAATGTAAGCCCAGACGTTAACGATTTATAAATGTATTATATGTATTACTGTCCAGGTGATATAAATAAAGAGCTGACACCGTATTACATTATAGGTATTGTATCCTTTTTCCATTTTTGATTTTGTTTTTCACCTTCATATTGTTTTCTTTCCTTAATTGTCTGATGTAATTAATGAAATATTTATATTTAGCTATTCAAAAATGTACCGCAAGGACAACTATAAAGAACTAAATTTTGTAACAGGAAAAAAGAACTTCATGGTAGCATAACACTACCGATAAAATATTGAATCTTGTTCAAGAATTTTAAGATTTTAGGTAACAGTGATCTGATACAAGATATATGTTCCTCCCAATTCCTTACAAAAATTTTATATTATAAGCAACTGACTTCTCAGTTTCAAACTCTTATATTAAAAGATGGTTGTTGTATTTAAGCTGACCAGCGCATATTCTGCTCACATTTGTAGTTCAACAAAGCACAACGTTCTTCATATGATTTGTTGTGATTAAATAACGTTCGTCATCGTATGTCAGTACGTTTGTGTTAATAATTTGGTTTTAAGTGTCTATTGGTCAAAAAGGGAACAGTTAATTATCTTTGATTTCTTCGATTGGTAAATGTTTGATGGCTTTAATATGGCTTCATGCAATTAAAAATAACGTAAGGATTATGCTATGTTGATATTGGCATTTGTGAAACTAGAACATGGGCCGTTAAAGTATATTGAAATTTGTTCATAATTCGTCCTTTCTAAACCCTCAGAGAGCTCTTTTCTATATATTTTGACCTGTTTATATATGTTACCAAATTCAAGAGTATAAAGCTATATTCTATTGTCTTTTTAAACAAAACGATAAAATTATGCTGTTTTGATATAAATATTGTACGGAAACAGGATAAAATGTTCAGGAAACAATTTCTTTAGAATATATTCTTTTTTAATTAGACATGATTTCACGCAGTCCTCACTCGCTGTCAGTAAAATATACGGAGGAATTATTTAATTCTAGGTATTCTTATTTAATCGTTACAATGAAGATGACTGTAAACCGTTTTTCCGCTAATGTTTCACGTCATGATATAAATTTTAAATGTTACTTATGACAATTACTACTATTCAGACTGTGGATCTCCATTGAATGTGACCAATGGTAAATTGCAGTATAACGCAACGACGTTTGGATCAACCGCTTCTCTTGTCTGTGAAAGAGGATATGGTGGAAACGGTACAATAAGCTGCCTTGCCACTGCCAGTTGGGAAAGCCCACCAAAATGTTCTATTAAAGGTCAATTATTATAAGAATCAATTTCAATCTTTGTTAAATACTAAGAACATTTGTCAATACATTCAATATGTATATTTTAACTACAATGTAAGCCTAGATGTTAATGAATTATAAATGTGTTAGATGAATTACTGTCTAGGTGATATAAATAAAGAGCTGACACCGTATTGCCTTATTGGTATTGTATACATTTTCCATTTTGTTTTTGTTTTTCACCTTTATATTGTTTTCATTCCTTTTGTCCAATTGTCTGATGTTATTAATTAAATATTATATTTTTCTATTCAAAAATGTACTGCAAGGACAACTATAAAGAATTAAATTTTGTAACAGGAAAAAAGAACTTCATTGTAGCATAACTCTACCGATAAAATATTGAATCTTGTTCATGAATTTTAAGATTTTAGGTAACAGTGATCTGATACAAGATATATGTTCCTCCCAATTTCTTACAAATATGTTATATAATAAGCAATTGACTTCTCAGTTCAAAACTCATATATAAAAAGATGGTCGTTTTATTTTAGCTGACCAGAGCACATTCTGCTCACATTTGTAGTTCAACAAATTACAACGTTCTCCATGTGATTTGTTGTGATTAAATACCGTTCGTCGTCGTATGTCAGTATGTCTGTGCTAACAATTTGGTTTTAAGTGTCTTTTGGTAAAATAGAGAACAGTTGATTGTCTTTGATTTCTTCGTCTAGTATGTGTTTGATGTCTTTAATATGGCTTCATGCATAAAAAATAACTTAAGGAATATGCTTTGTTGATATTGGCATTTGTGAATCTATAACATGGGCCGTTAAAGTATATTGAAATGTGTACATAAATAGTCCTGTTTAAAACCTTCAGAGAACTCTTTACTATATATTTTGACCTTTATATATATATATGTAATACAAATTCAAGAGTATAAAGCTATATCCTATTGTCTTTTTAAACAAAACGATAAAATTATGCCGTTTTCATATAAATATTGTACGGAAACAGGATAAAATGTTCAGGAAACAATATCTTTAGGATCTATTCTTTTTAAATTGGACATGATTGCACGCTGTCCTCACTGGCTGTCAGTAAAATATACGGAGGAATTATTTCATTCTATTCTAGGTATTCTAGTTAATCGTTACAATAAAGATGAATGTAAACCAATTTTCCCGCTAATGTTTCACGTCATGATATAAAGTTTAAATGTAACTAATGAATATTACTACTATTCAGACTGTGGATCTCCATTGAATGTGACCAATGGTAAATTGCACTATATCGCAACGACGTTTGGATCAACCGCTTCTCTTGCCTGTGAAAGAGGATATGATGGAAATGGTACAATAAGCTGCCTTGACACTGGCAGTTGGGAAAACTAACCAAAATGTTCTATCAAAGGTCAATTATTTATTATTTGTATCAATTTCAATCTTTGTTAAATACTTAGAACATTTGTCAATACATTTTTAAATCAATCTAATATTTGATAAATATTAAGAACTTTTGTCAATACATTCATCATGTATATTTTGAACTACAATGTAAGCCCGGACGTTAATGAATTATTAATGTATTATATGTATTGCTGTACAGGTGATATAAATAAAGAGCTGACACCGTATTAACTTATAGGTATTGTATACATTTCCCATTTTTCGGCCCCTAATTTAGCTTGGAGTTGGGGCATTTAGATTTACCCATGCCCGTCCATCCATCCGTCCGTCCATCTGTCCGTCCTTTCGTCCGTTCTCTTTTGTATAGCACATTACTCAAAAAGTATTTGACATAGTGTCATGAAACTTAAAAGGAATGCTGATCAGCATGAGCAGGTGTACATCTTGGTATTCTCCAGTGAATTCATACAGTACTTTTAGAGTTATTGCCCTTGACTTAGTACAAATGTGCAACTTTCAACTTGTGTCGCATGTAACTCAAAAACGATATGACATAGAGTCATGGAGCTTTACAGGAATGTTGATCAGCATATGAAGTTGTCAACCTGGGTATTTTTGTCTGGATTTATTCAGTATTTTTAGAGTTATTGCCCTTGACTTAGATTTATTGCGATTTTCAACTTGTGTCACATTTAACTTAAAAAGGATTTGACTTAGAGTCATAAAACTTTACATGAATGTTGATCAGCATGTGTAGTTGTGCACCTGGGTATTTTTGTGTGAATTTCTTCAGTATTTTTATGGTTATTGCTCTTGATTTTGAATTATTTTGCACTTTCAACTTGTGTCGCATTTAATTAAAAAAGGATTTGACATAGAGTCATGAAACCTTACGGAATGTTGCTCAACATATGTAGTTGTGCACCTTGGGTTTCGCTTCTGGATTTATCCAGTATTTGTAAAGTTATTGCCCTTGAGTTAGTTAAAACCGTGTTATTTGTTCCCTAAGTGCTCGAGTTAAAATCAACCATCTTTACAGGAATAACGATCAATATCACTAAATTACAGGAATAATGATCATCATCACTATGAAGCTATGTACCTGGGACTTTGCATGTGGATTTTTATTTCAGTTTCGTTATAGTTATAACCCTTGACTTATAGTAGTATAAATTTGCAATTTTCAACTTGTTCATGCATAGTTCAAAAAGTATTTGACTTGTAGGCCTGACAGTTTACAAGAATGTTGGTCAGAAAGTTTACTTATGCACCTTGGGGTTTGCTTATTGATTTATTCAGTATTTGTAAAGTTCTTGCCCTTTACATAGCAAAAGATTTTTTTGTTCTCAACATATGGCACATGAAGTCTAAAACATATTTGACCTAGAGTCATAATATTGATAGAACAGTGGTGTTTGGGGCACGCGTGTGCTATGGCCACATTTTAGTTGATTTCCACCGTTATATTGTTTTCTTACCTTTATTGTCTGATGTTAACAATGAAATATTATAGTTAGCTATTCAAAAATGTACCGCAAGGACAACGTTAAAGAATTAAAATTTGAAACAGACAAATAAGAACCGCATGGTAGCATAACTCTACCCATAAAGGATTGAATCTTGTTCATGAATTTTAAGACTTAAGGTCACAGTAATCTAATGCAAGATATATGTTCCTCCCAGTTCCTTACAGATATGTTATATAATAAGCAATTGACTTCTCAGTATCAAACTCATAATCATTATAAAAAAGATGGTCGTTGTCTTTTAGCTGACCAGAGCACATTCTGCTTACATTTGTAGTTCAACAAATTACAACGTTTTTCATGTGATTTGTTGTGATTAATAACCGTTCGTCGTCGAATGTCAGTACGTCTGTTCTAACAATTTGGTTTTAAGAGTCTTTTGGTAAAAGAGAGAACAGTTTATCGTCGTTGATTTCTTCGTTTGGTAAATGTTTGATGTCTTTAATATGCCCTCATGGAATTGAAAATAACTTAAGGAATATGCTTTGTTGATATTGGCATTTTATAAACTAGAACATGGGCCGTTTAAGTATTATGAAATGTGTACATAATTCGTCCTTTTTAAACCTTCAGAGAGCTCCTTTCTATACATTGTGACCTGTTTATATATGCTACAAAAATTCAAGAGTATAAAGCTATATCCTAAGGTCTTTTTTTAACAAAACGATAAAAGTATGCCGTTTTCATATAAATATTGTACGGAAAGAGGAAACAATGTTCAGGAGACAACTTATTTAGAATCTATTCTTTATAAATTGGACGATGAGTGCATGCAGTCCCCACTTGCTATTAGTAAAATATACGGAATAATTATTTCATTCTAGGTATTCTAGTTAATCGTTACAATGAAGATGAATGTAAAACATTTTCCCGCTAATGTTTCACGTCAGGATATAAATTTTAAATGTATCTAATGAATATTACTACTTTTCAGACTGTGGATCTCCATTGAATGTGACCAATGGTAAATTGCAGTATAACGCAACGACGTTTGGATCAACCGCTTCTCTTGCCTGTGAAACAGGATATGATGGAAACGGTACAATAAGCTGCCCTGACACTGGCATTTGGGAAAGCCCACCAAAATGTTCTATTAAAGGTCAATTATTCATTATTTGAATCAATTTCAATCTTTGTTAAATTCTAAGAACATTTTGTCAATACATCCATAATGTAATACTATTTAAACTACAATGTAAGCTCAAACGTTAAGGAATTTTAAATGTATTAGATGTATTACTGTCCAGGTGATATAAATAAAAAGCTGACACCGTATTACCTTATAGGTATTGTATACAAATTCTTATTTTTGTTTTTGTTTTCCACTTTTATATTGTTTTCTTTCCTTAATCGTCCGATATTATTAATAAAATATTTACATTTAGCTATTCAAAAATGTACTGCAAGGACAACTATAAAGAATTAAAATTTGTAACAGGAAGAAAAAACTTCATGGTAGCATAACTCTACCGACAAAATATTGAATCTTGTTCATAAATTTTAAGATTTTAGGTAACAGTGATCTGATACAAGATATATGTTTCTCCAAATTTCTTACAAATATGTTATATAATTAGCAATTGACTTCTCAGTTTCAAACTCATATATAAAAAGATGGTCGTTTTTTTAGCTGACCAGAGCACATTCTGCTTACATTTGTAGTTCAACAAATTACAACGTTTTTCATGTGATTTGTTGTGATTAATAACCGTTCGTCGTCGAATGTCAGTACGTCTGTTCTAACAATTTGGTTTTAAGAGTCTTTTGGTAAAAGAGAGAACAGTTTATCGTCGTTGATTTCTTCGTTTGATAAATGTTTGATGTCTTTAATATGCCCTCATGGAATTGAAAATAACTTAAGGAATATGCTTTGTTGATATTGGCATTGTATAAACTAGAAAATGGGCCGTTAAAGTATAATGAAATGTGTACATAATTCGTCCTTTTTAAACCTTCAGAGAGCTCCTTTCTATACATTGTGACCTGTTTATATATGCTACAAAAATTCAAGAGTATAAAGCTATATCCTATGGTCTTTCACACAAAACGATAAAATTATGCCGTTTTCATATAAATATTGTACGGAAACAGGATAAAATGATCAGGAAACAAAATATTTAGAAGCTATTCTTTGTAAATTGGACGATGATTGCACGCAGTCCCCACTAGCTGTCAGAAAAATATACGGAAGGCATTATTTCATTGTAGGCTTTCTTGTTTATCGTTACAATGAAGATGAATGTATACCATTTTGTCCGCTAAAGTTTCACGTCATGATATAAATTTTAAATGTAACTAATGAATTTTACTACTATTCAGACTGTGGATCTCCATTGAATGTGACCAATGGTAAATTGCAGTATAACGCAACGACGTTTGGATCAACCGCTTCTCTTGCCTGTGAAACAGGATATGATGGAAACGGTACAATAAGCTGCCTTGACACTGGCATTTGGGAAAGCCCACCAAAATGTTCTATTAAAGGTCAATTATTCATTATTTGAATCAATTTCAATCTTTGTTAAATTCTAAGAACATTTTGTCAATACATCCATAATGTATATTTAAACTACAATGTAAGCCCAGACGTTAAGGAATTTTAAATGTATGAGATGTATTACTGTCCAGGTGATATAAATAAAAAGCTGACACCGTATTACCTTATAGGTATTGTATACAAATTCTTATTTTTGTTTTTGTTTTCCACCTTTATATTGTTTTCTTTCCTTAATCGTCTGATATTATTAATAAAATATTTACATTTAGCTATTCAAAAATGTACTGCAAGGACAACTATAAAGAATTAAAATTTGTAACAGGAAGAAAAAAACTTCATGGTAGCATAACTCTACCGACAAAATATTGAATCTTGTTCATAAATTTTAAGATGTTAGGTAACAGTGATCTGATACAAGATATATGTTTCTCCAAATTTCTTACAAATATGTTATATAATAAGCAATTGACTTCTCAGTTTCAAACTCATATATAAAAAGATGGTCGTTTTTTTAGCTGACCACAGCACATTCTGCTTACATTTGTAGTTCAACAAATTACAACGTTTTTCATGTGATTTGTTGTGATTAATAACCGTTCGTCGTCGAATGTCAGTACGTCTGTTCTAACAATTTGGTTTTAAGAGTCATTTGGTAAAAGAGAGAACAGTTTATCGTCGTTGATTTCTTCGTTTGGTAAATGTTTAATGTCTTTAATATGCCCTCATGGAATTGAAAATAACTTAAGGAATATGCTTTGTTGATATTGGCATTTTATAAACTAGAACATGGGCCATTAAAGTATAATGAAATGTGTACATAACTCGTCCTTTTTAAACCTTCAGAGAGCTCCTTTCTATACATTGTGACCTGTTTATATATGCTACAAAAATTCAAGAGTATAAAGCTATATCCTATGGTCTTTCACACAAAACGATAAAATTATGCCGTTTTCATATAAATATTGTACGGAAACAGGATAAAATGATCAGGAAACAAAATATTTAGAAGCTATTCTTTGTAAATTGGACGATGATTGCACGCAGTCCCCACTAGCTGTCAGAAAAATATACGGAAGGCATTATTTCATTGTAGGTATTCTAGTTTATCGTTACAATGAAGATGAATGTATACCATTTTTTTTCCGCTAAAGTTTCACGACATGATATAAATTTTAAATGTAACTAATGAATTTTACTACCATTCAGACTGTGGATCTCCATTGAATGTGACCAATGGTAAATTGCAGTATAACGCAACGACGTTTGGATCAACCGCTTCTCTTGCCTGTGAAACAGGATATGATGGAAACGGTACAATAAGCTGCCTTGACACTGGCATTTGGGAAAGCCCACCAAAATGTTCTATTAAAGGTTAATTATTCATTATTTGAATCAATTTCAATCTTTGTTAAATTCTAAGAACATTTTGTCAATACATCCATAATGTATATTTAAACTACAATGTAAGCCCAGACGTTAAGGAATTTTAAATGTATGAGATGTATTACTGTCCAGGTGATATAAATAAAGAGCTGACACCGTATTACCTTATAGGTATTGTATACAAATTCTTATTTTTGTAATTGTTTTCCACCTTTATATTGTTTTCTTTCCTTAATCGTCTGATATTATTAATAAAATATTTACATTTAGCTATTCAAAAATGTACTGCAAGGACAACTATAAAGAATTAAAATTTGTAACAGGAAGAAAAAAACTTCATGGTAGCATAACTCTTCCGACAAAATATTGAATCTTGTTCATAAATTTTAAGATTTTAGTTAACAGTGATTTGATACAAGATATATGTTTCTCCAAATTTCTTACAAATATGTTATATAATTAGCAATTGACTTCTCAGTTTCAAACTCATATAGAAAATGATGGTCGTTTTTTTAGCTGATCACAGCACATTCTGCTTACATTTGAAGTTCAACAAATTACAACGTTTTTCATGTGATTTGTTATGATTAATAACCGTTCGTCGTCGAATGTCAGTACGTCTGTTCTAACAATTTGGCTTTAAGAGTCTTTTGGTAAAAGAGAGAACAGTGTATCGTCGTTGATTTCTTCGTTTGGTAAATGTTTGATGTCTTTAATATGCCCTCATGGAATTGAAAATAACTTAAGGAATATGCTTTGTTGATATTGGCATTTTATAAACTAGAACATGGGCCGTTAAAGTATAATGAAATGTGTACATAATTCGTCCTTTTTAAACCTTCAGAGAGCTCCTTTCTATACATTGTGACCTGTTTATATATGCTACAAAAATTCAAGAGTATAAAGCTATATCCTATGGTCTTTCACACAAAACGATAAAATTATGCCGTTTTCATATAAATATTGTACGGAAACAGGATAAAATGATCAGGAAACAAAATATTTAGAAGCTATTCTTTGTAAATTGGACGATGATTGCACGCAGTCCCCACTAGCTGTCAGAAAAATATACGGAAGGCATTATTTCATTGTAGGTATTCTTGTTTATCGTTACAATGAAAATGAATGTATACCATTTTGTCCGCTAAAGTTTCACGTCATGATATAAATTTTAAATGTAACTAATGAATTTTACTACTATTCAGAGTGTGGATCTCCATTGAATGTGACCAATGGTAAATTGCAGTATAACGCAACGACGTTTGGATCAACCGCTTCTCTTGCCTGTGAAACAGGATATGATGGAAACGGTACAATAAGCTGCCTTGACACTGGCATTTGGGAAAGCCCACCAAAATGTTCTATGAAAGGTCAATTATTCATTATTTGAATCAATTTCAATCTTTGTTAAATTCTAAGAACATTTTGTCAATACATCCAGAATGTAATATTATTTAAACTACAATGTAAGCTCAAACGTTAAGGAATTTTAAATGTATTAGATGTATTACTGTCCAGGAGATATAAATAAAGAGCTGACACCGTATTACCTGATAGGTATAGTATATAAATTCTTATTTTTTGTTTTCCACCTTTATATTGTTTTCTTTCCTTAATTGTCCGATATTATTAATAAAATATTTACATTTAGCTATTCAAAAATGTACTGCAAGGACAACTATGAAGAATTAAAATTTGTAACAGGAAGAAAAAAACTTCATGGTAGCATAACTCTACCGACAAAATATTGAATCTTGTTCATAAATTTTTAAGATTTTAGGTAACAGTGATCTGATACAAGATATATGTTTCTCCAAATTTCTTACAAATATGTTATATAATTAGCAATTGACTTCTCAGTTTCAAACTCATATATAAAAAAGATGGTCGTTTTTTTTAGCTGACCACAGCACATTTTGCTTACATTTGTAGTTCTACAAATTACAACGTTTTTCATGTGATTTGTTGTGATTAATAACCGTTCGTCGTCGAATGTCAGTACTTCTGTTCCACCAATTTGGTTTTAAGTGTCTTTTGGTAAAAGAGAGAACAGTTTATCGTCGTTGATTTCTTCGTTTGGTAAATGTTTGATGTCTTTAACATGCCCTCATGGAATTGAAAATAACTTAAGGAATATGCTTTGTTGATATTGGCATTTGAGAACCTAGAACATGGGCCGTTAAAGTATATTGAAATATGTACATAGTTCGTCCTTTTTAAAACTTTAGATTGCTCGTTTCTATACATTTTGACCTGTATATATGTTAAACAAATTCAAGAGTATCAAGATTTATCCTATGGTTTTTTAAACAAAACGATAAAATTATGTCGTTTTATATAAATATTGTACGGAAACAGGACGATTTGTTTAGGAATCAAAATATTTAGAAGCTATTCTTTGTAAATTGGGCGATGATTGCACGCAGTCCCAACTGGTTGTCAATAAAATATACGGAGGAATTATTTCATTCTTGGTATTCAAGGTAATCGTTAAAATGAAGATTAACATTAACTATTTTTTCGCTTATGTTTCACGTCATGATAAAATTTTTTTAATGTAACTAATGAATGTTTCCAATATTCAGACTGTGGACCTCCATTAAATGTGACCAATGGTAATTTGCTCTATATTGCAACGACGTTTGGATCAACCGCTTCTCTTGTATGTGATAGAGGATATGATGGAAACGGTACAATAAGCTGCCTTGACACTGGCAGTTGGGAAACCCCACCAAAATGTTCCATTAAAGGTCAACTATTATTTGAATCAATTTCAATCTTTTTAAATACTAAGATTATTTGTCAATACTTATGTATATTTTTAATTACAATGTAAGCCCAGACGTTAATGATTTATAAATGTATTATATGTATTACTGTACAGATGATATAAATAAAGAGCTGACACCGTATTACCTGATGATTATTGTATACATTTTCCACTTTTGTTTTTGCTTTTTCATCTATATATTGTTTTTTTACCTTAATTGTCTGATGTAATTATTGAAATATTATATTTAGCTATTCAAAAATGTACAGTAAGGACAACTATAAATACCTTAAATTTGTAACAGCAAAAAAGAACTTAATTGTAGCATAACTCTTCCGATAAAATATTGAATCTCGTTCATGAATTTTAAGATTTTAGGTAACAATGATCTGATACAAGATATATGTTCCTCCCTATTCCTTACAAATATGTTATATAATAAGCAAATTACCTCTCAGTTTCAAACTCTTTTATTAAAAGATGGTTGTTGTATTGTAGCTGACCAGCATTTCTCGTTTTTGTTTTTCACCTTTATATTGTTTTCTGTTCTTAATTGTCTGATGTTATTAATGAAATATTATATTTAGCTATTCAAAAATGTATCGCAAGGACAACGTTAATGAATTAAAATTTGTAACACGAAAAAAGGAACTACATTGTAGGATAACTTTACCGATAAAATGTTGAATCTTGTTCATGAATTTTTAGAATTTAGGTGACATTGATCTGATACGAGATATATGTTCCTCCCAATTCCTTATAAATATGTAATATAATAAGCAATTTACTTCTCAGTTTCAAAATCAAATATAAAAAATGGTCGTTGTATTTTAGCTGACCAGAGCACATTTTTCTCACATTCGTATTTCAACACATTACACCGTTCTTCATGTGATTTCTTTTGATTAATGACCGTTCGTCGTCGTATGTCAGTACGTATATGCTAACAATTTGGTTGTTAGTGTCTTTTGGTAAAATAGAGAACATTTAATTGTCGTTGATTTGTTCGTTTGGTAAATGTTTGATATCTTTAATATGGCTTCACGGGATTGAAAATAACTTAAGGAATATGTACATAATTTGTCCTTTAAAACATTCAGAGAGCTCTTTTCTATACATTTTGACCTATATATATATATATATATATATATATATATATATATATATATATATATATATATATATATATATATATATATAGGTTTGTGAAAAATATTTGAATCTACAAAATACCTTTCAAAAACACTGGATCCAAAGAAGGATACAAGAACGTGGAAAAAAAAATTTGGAGAAAATAAACGTTCATACAGTGCTAAAGTATAAGTACCCAAGTACTTTCGGCGTATTATGCCTTCATCAGGGGTGTATTACATGTATAATGTGCACACAATCGAGCACAAAATCTCAATACGTGTGTACTGTATAGTATCAAAAATTGAACTGAAACACAGTCGCTAGAAAGGTGATAAAATAACATCGATTATGAATAGACCGTTATTGAATGGTCATTGTGTAGTACTTTACAAAAGAGAATATAGCCTGCGGTCAATATGGCAAAAACTCGGTTAAATATATCTATAGAACTGTGTTTAAAAGAAAAAAATAAAACTTCACATATAAGGGCGTTTTGTGTTTTTATTACTTTAAGTATGATGTAAGAAAATGCAAGTTACAAACAGTATGATGTTATATGAAGTGGAAATTTACGATAAGGTGAAAGTAAAAACGAAGCTCTCAGGCAAGGGAAAAATAGCCCTCCCCGACACCGCCTGATGACTAAAGTTAGGTTTTAAAGTTTGTCAAGAATGGGCTAGAATAAGTGTGTAAATTAGTCTCCTTTATTGATTCCTGATGGCTCTAGCGTATTCAGTCGGCGAATCCAGTATGTCTCGCGTGATTTCCGTGTTATATCTGACCACTTTGTGTTATGTTCAATACAACAGAGGGACACGTCTTTAAAACTGTGTCCCTCAAGGTGAAAATGTTCAGCAACTGGGGATCTGTTAAATTTTCGTGTTTTCCAGTCAGAGCGGTGTAAGTTCATTCGTTTATTTAATGGAAGTTTAGTTTCACCGACATATTGTTTGTTACACACTTTGCAAGAAATAAGATAAATAACGTTTGCCGTTTTACAATTCATTATGTCTTTGAGAGATGTTTTGGCCCCTATTTTTGAGGAGAATGTTTTTGTAAGGAGCATGACAGCACAGGTTTGGCATCTTGGTGTGCCACATGGTCCAGACTGACCTTCTTTATCTGTCATTATTGGTCTCAGTTGGGCTCGAACAAGTATGTCCCTGAGGCTTTTAGGTCTCCTATATGCAATGGTTGGTTTAGTTGGGAACATCTTGTTAAGTTTCTGTGAAGACTCAATAATTGGCCAATGTTTGTCAATGATGGCTCTAGTGTTAGGTAAGTCTGGGTGATATGTGAGCACAAATGGAATTTTATTTTGTGTAGAACCACTAGATTGATGTTTGTACTCTAGTAAGTCTTTCCTGTGCTTGCTGTCTGCATTTAAGATCGCGTTTGCAATGTCTTCTTCCTTGTATCCTCGCTTCCTAAGATGTTCAGACAGTTCTTTTGCTCTGATATAGAACGTGCTGGGACTTGAACAGATTCGTTTGATTCTCAAAGCCAAACTGTATGGTATGTTCTTACAACAGTGTCGAGGGTGGCAGCTGCTTGGAAGAAGGTATTTATTGATGTTTATCGGTGGGTTTTGAATACAAATCAGTAATTATATGATTGTCTTTAATATGAGATGCTGTGTCGAGAAAAACATGTTGTTCGTTTGATACCTCAGTGGTGAACTTTATAGATTTGTGAAAAGTATTAGCTCTGTAAAGAAAATCTTGCAAAGCTTCTTCCCCGTGACACCATTGCATGTCAATGTCATCTATATAGCGTAACCAACTGAATGGTTTAAGAGGTACTGCAGCTAGCAGTTGTCCTTCTAATTTGCCCATAAACACGTTGGCGTAAGATGGCGCCATTTTAGTCCCCATAGCCGTGCCCTGTACCTGTAGGAAATGTTTGTCACAGAAAACAAAGTTGTTGCATTTCAGAATAAGTACGAGAAGTTCGATAAGTGTTTCTGTGGGAGGATTCTTTATTATACGAGAATCCCATGCTTCTTTGCACGCTGCAATGCCATCTTCGTGGGGGATGTTAGTGTATAATGCAGTAACATCCATAGACACCAAAAGGGTTTGGTCAGGTAAATCTTTCTGAGATTCTAATTTTCTTAGATAATCAGTGGTGTCCTGCAAATGAGAGGGCAAAGCGCATACAAATGGCCGAAGATGGTGGTCAACAAATTCTGAGATACGTTCTGTTGGGTGACCGTTGGCAGATACAATGGGGCGGCCTGGGATTCTTCGTTACAATGAAGATGAATGTATACCAGTTTTTTCCGCTAAAGTTTCACGTCATGATATAAATTTTAAATGTAACTAATGAATTTTACTACTATTCAGACTGTGGATCTCCATTGAATGTGACCAATGGTAAATTGCAGTATAACGCAACGACGTTTGGATCAACAGCTTCTCTTGCCTGTGAAACAGGATATGATGGAAACGGTACAATAAGCTGCCTTGACACTGGCAGTTGGGAAAGCCCACCAAAATGTTCTATTAAAGGTCAATTATTCATTATTTGAATCAATTTCAATCTTTGTTAAATTCTAAGAACATTTTGTCAATACATCCATAATGTATATTTAAACTACAATGTAAGCCCAGACGTTAAGGAATTTTAAATGTATTAGATGTATTACTGTCCAGGTGATATAAATAAAGAGGTGACACCGTATTACCTTATAGGTATTGTATACAAATTCTTATTTTTGTTTTTGTTTTCCACCTTTATATTGTTTTCTTTCCTTAATCGTCTGATATTATTAATAAAATATTTACATTTAGCTATTCAAAAATGTACTCCAAGGACAACTATAAAGAATAAAAATTTGTAACAGGAAGAAAAAAACTTAATGGTAGCATAATTCTACCGATTAGATATTGTATCCTGTTCATTAATTTTAAGATCTAAGGTCACAGTGATCTGATACAAGATATATGTAAATCCAAATTCCTTACAAATATGTTATATAATAAGCAATCAACAACTCAGTTTCACACACTCAAATATAAAAACATATGGTCGTTGTATTTTAGCTGACCAGAGCACATTCTGCTCACATTTGTAGGTCAACAAAGAACAACGTTCTTCCTGTGATTTGTTGTGATTATAAACCGTTCGTCTTCGAATGTCAGTACGTCTATTCTAACAATTTGGTTTTAAGAGTCTTTTGGTAAAAGAGAGAACAGTTTATCGTCGTTGATTTCTTCGTTTGGTAAATGTTTGATGTCTTTAATATGCCCTAATGGAACTGAAAATAACTTAAGGAATATGCTTTGTTGATATTGGCATTTTATAAACTAGAACATGGGCCGTTAAAGTATAATGAAATGTGTACATAATTCGTCCTTTTTAAACCTTCAGAGAGCTCCTTTCTATACATTGTGACCTGTTTATATATGCTACAAAAATTCAAGAGTATAAAGCTATATCCTATGGTCTTTCACACAAAACGATAACATTATGCCGTTTTCATATAAATATTGTACGGAAACAGGATAAAATGATCAGGAAACAAAATATTTAGAAGCTATTCTTTGTAAATTGGACGATGATTGCACGCAGACCCCACTTGCTGTCAGAAAAATATACGGAAGGCATTATTTCATTGTAGGTATTCTTGTTTATCGTTACAATGAAAATGAATGTATACCATTTTGTCCGCTAAAGTTTCACGTCATGGTATAAATTTTAAATGTAACTAATGAATTTTACTACTATTCAGACTGTGGATCTCCATTGAATGTGACCAATGGTAAATTGCAGTATAACGCAACGACGTTTGGATCAACCGCTTCTCTTGCCTGTGAAACAGGATATGATGGAAACGGTACAATAAGCTGCCTTGACACTGGCAGTTGGGAAAGCCCACCAAAATGTTCTATTAAAGGTTAATTATTCATTATTTGAATCAATTTCAATCTTTGTTAAATTCTAAGAACATTTTGTCAATACATCCATAATGTATATTTAAATTACAATGTAAGCCCAGACGTTAAGGAATTTTAAATGTATTAGATGTATTACTGTCCAGGTGATATAAATAAAAAGCTGACACCGTATTACCTTATAGGTATTGTATACAAATTCTTATTTTTGTTTTTGTTTTCCACCTTTATATTGTTTTCTTTCCTTAATCGTCTGATATTATTAATAAAATATTTACATTTAGCTATTCAAAAAGGTACTGCAAGGACAACTATAAAGAATTAAAATTTGTAACAGGAAGAAAAAAACTTCATGGTAGCATAACTCTACCGACAAAATATTGAATCTTGTTCATAAATTTTAAGATGTTAGGTAACAGTGATCTGATACAAGATATATGTTTCTCCAAATTTCTTACAAATATGTTATATAATAAGCAATTGACTTCTCAGTTTCAAAGTCATATATAAAAAGATGGTCGTTTTTTAGCTGACCCCCGCACATTCCCCTTACATTTGTAGTTCAAAAAATTTAAACAACTTTTTTTATGTAAATTTTGGGTGATTAAAAAACCTTCTCGTCAAATTTCCCCAGTAGGTCTATTCAAAAAATTTGGGTTTTTTTTTAAGGTTTTTGGTAAAAGAAGAAAACCCATTTTTATTCCGTTTTTTCTTCTTTTGGTAATTTTTATGTCTTTAAAATATCCCTTTTTTTGGGAACTGAAAATAACTTAAGGGATATGCTTTGTTGATATGGCATTTTATAAAATAAAACATGGGCCGTTAAAGTATAACGAAATGTGTACATTCAATTCGTCCCTTTTTTAAACTTCAGAGAGCTCCTTTCTATTACATTGTGACCTGTTTATATATGCCTACAAAAATTCAAGAGTTTAAAAGCTATATTCCTAATGGTCTTTCACACCAAAACGATAACATTATGCCGTTTCATATAAATTGTACGGAACAGGATAAAATGAATCAGGAAACAAAATATTTAGGAAGCTATTCTTTGTAAATTGGACGATGATTGCAAAGCAGTCCCACTAGCTGTCAGAAAAATATACGGAAGGCATTATTTCATTGTAGGTATTCTTGTTTATCGTTACAATGAAAATGAATGTATACCATTTTGTCCGCTAAAGTTTCACGTCATGATATAAATTTTAAATGTAACTAATGAATTTTACTACTATTCAGAGTGTGGATCTCCATTGAATGTGACCAATGGTAAATTGCAGTATAACGCAACGACGTTTGGATCAACCGCTTCTCTTGCCTGTGAAACAGGATATGATGGAAACGGTACAATAAGCTGCCTTGACACTGGCATTTGGGAAAGCCCACCAAAATGTTCTATTAAAGGTCAATTATTCATTATTTGAATCAATTTCAATCTTTGTTAAATTCTTAGAACATTTTGTCAATACATCCATAATGTTATATTATTTAAACTACAATGTAAGCTCAAACGTTAAGGAATTTTAAATGTATTAGATGTATTACTGTCCAGGTGATATAAATAAAGAGCTGACACCATATTACCTTATAGGTGTAGTATACACATTCTTATTTTTGTTTTCCACCTTTATATTGTTTTCTTTCCTTAATTGTCCGATATTATTAATAAAATATTTACATTTAGCTATTCAAAAATGTACTGCAAGGACAACTATGAAGAATTAAAATTTGTAACAGGAAGAAAAAAACTTCATGGTAGCATAACTCTACCGACAAAATATTGAATCTTGTTCATAAATTTTAAGATTTTAGGTAACAGTTATCTGATACAAGATATATGTTTCTCCAAATTTCTTACAATATGTTATATAATTAGCAATTGACTTCTCAGTTTCAAACTCATATATAAAAAGATGGTCGTTTTTTTAGCTGACCACAGCACATTTTGCTTACATTTGTAGTTCAACAAATTACAACGTTTTTCATGTGATTTGTTGTGATTAATAACCGTTCGTCGTCGAATGTCAGTACTTCTGTTCCACCAATTTGGTTTTAAGTGTCTTTTGGTAAAAGAGAGAACAGTTTATCGTCGTTGATTTCTTCGTTTGGTAAATGTTTGATGTCTTTAATATGCCCTCATGGAATTGAAAATAACTTAAGGAATATGCTTTGTTGATATTGGCATTTGAGAAACTAGAACATAGGCCGTTAAAGTATATTGAAATATGTACATAGTTCGTCCTTTTTAAAACTTAAGAGAGCTCGTTTCTATACATTTTGACCTGTATATATGTTAAACAAATTCAAGAGTATCAAGATTTATCCTATGGTTTTTTAAACAAAACGATAAAATTATGTTGTTTTATATAAATATTGTACGGAAACAGGACGTTTTGTTTAGGAAACAAAATATTTAGAAGCTATTCTTTGTAAATTGGACGATGATTGCACGCAGTCCCCACTGTCTGTCAATAAAATAATGGAGGAATTAATTCAATCTTGGTATTCAAGGTAATCGTTAAAATGAAGATTAACATTAACTATTTTTCCGCTAAAGTTTCACGTCATTATAAAATTTTAAATGTTACTAATGAATGTTTCCAATATTCAGACTGTGGATCTCCATTAAATGTGGCCAATGGTAATTTGCTCTATATTGCAACGACGTTTGGATCAACCGCTTCTCTTGTATGTGATAGAGGGTATGATGGAAACGGTACAATAAGCTGCCTTGACACTGGCAGTTGGGAAAGCCCACCAAAATGTTCTATTAAAGGTCAATTATTATTTGGTTCAATTTTATTATTTTTTAAAATATTAAGACTTTTTGTCAATTCATTCATTGTGCATATATTTAACTACAATGTAAGCCTGTGCGTTAATAATTTATAAATGTATTATATGTATTACTGTACAGGTGATATAAATAAAGAGCTGACACCGTATTGAATTATAGGTATTGTGCACATTTTTGTTTTTGTTTTTCACCTTTATATTGTTTTCTGTTCTTAATTGTCTGATGTAATTAATGAAATATTGTATTTAGCTATTGTATCGCAAGGACAACATTAATGAATTAAAATTTGTAACAGGAAAATACAACTTCGTGGTAGCATAACTTTACCGATCAAATATTGAATCCTGTGCATGAATTTTAAGATTTAAGGAGGTCCCAGTGATCTGATACAAGATATAGGTTCCTCCCTATTCCTTACAAATATGTTATATAAAAAGCAATGGACCCCTCAGTTTCAGACTCAAATAAAAAAAAGGTCGTGGTATTTAAGCTGACTAGAGCACATTCTGCTCATATTTGAAGTTCAACTAATTACAATGTTCTTCATGTGATTTGTTGAGATTAAATAAAGTTCGTCGTCGTATGTCAGTACGTCTGTGCTAACAATTTGGTTTTAAGTGTCTTTTGGTAAAAAAGAGAACAGTTACTTGTCTTTGATTTCTTGGTCTAGTATGTGTTTGATGTCTTTAATATGGCTTCATGCAAATAAAAATAACTTAAGGAATATGCTTTGTTAATATTTGCATTTGGGAAACAAAAACATGGGCCGTTAAAAGTTTATTGAAATGTCTACATAATTCGTCCTTTTAAAACCTTCAGAGAGCTCTTTTCTATACATTTTGACCTGTATATATGAAATACAAATTCAAGAGTATAAAGCTATATCCTATGGTCTTTTTAAACAAAACGATAAAATTATGCCGTTTTCAAATGAATATTGCAAGTAAACAGGATAAAATGTTCCAGAAACAAAATATTAAGGATATTTTTTTTTAATTGGTCGATGATTGCACGATGTCCCTACTTGCTGTCAGTAAAATATACGTAGGAATTATTTAATTTTAGGTATTCTAGTAAATCGTTACAATTGAGATGTTCATAAAACATTTTTTTTCCAATAATGTTTAATATCATGATATGAATTTAAATGTAACAAATGAATTTACCATTATTCAGACTGTGGACCTCCTTTGAATGTGACCAATGGTTATTTGCAGTATAAAGCAACAACGTTTGGATCAACTGCTTCTCTTGTCTGTGATGGAGGATATGATGGAAACGGGACAATAAGCTGCCTTGACACTGGCAGTTGGGAAACACCACCAAACTGTTCTTTAAAAGGTCAATTTTAATTTGTTTCAATTTCAATCCTTGTTAAATATTAAAACTTTTGTCAATACATTTGTTATTTATACTTTTAACTTTATTGTAAGCCCTGACGTTAATGAGTATTAATGCATTATCTGTATCATTTTATTGAATATTTTAAAAGATTTATCAAGAACTATACCGTACTACCTTAAAGGTATTGTACACATTATTTTGATTGCCACCTTTATATTATGTCATTCATTAATTATACGTAAATATGGAATTCGTCAAAGCCTATAAACAGGCAAAGCGGTTTATATATTCGTTCATTGTTTCCATTTTCCGTTTTAAAGGGACTCCACTGAGGTTTCTAAAAACATAAAATTTGAATTTCTTACATAAATGAGCTTGAGCACTTTAAACAGTAATATATGCAAAGATAGTTAGAAATATACTTTGAAATAAATTGAAAATCGTAGTTTTATGCTTTTCTTAGGCTAATTTGAGTGAAAAGCGTTTACACGCTTTTCAGTTTGGGTCAGTTTTTTACAATTTGAATAATTATTCGGGAAAACGGTGTGCGCGAATGATTTGAAATTTTGCACAGAGATTAGTGGTCTAAACCTACATCAAATGGTACAATTATCTGGAAAAAATATTTTCAGTCCCATCATGTCAAAAAACCCCAGTGGAGTCCCTTTAAAGGTGCATTTTGGTTATTCATGCACTACTTCCGCTTTCACTCGGAAGACCCCGACGATTATTTTTAAACCGAAAAGTTCCGATTGTTTCGTTTTCGGAATATCCCGCCTATTATCATAGAGTTACGTTGAAAATGGCGGCCCCAACTAGAAATAACAATGACAATTTCACTGATAGATTTTAAAATCTGTATGTTTTTGAACTGTTCTTTGTTATTTTTTCCTTTAAGATATACACGTGTAGTCTATAGCCGGGAAAGTCAAAGCTATGGCCCGCTTCGCTGACCAGGCCTTTGTCTTTCCCATTTTAATGAAGTTTTATATTTAGCTATTTAGAAATGTACCTTTAGGACAACGTTTGAGAATTAAAATCTTGAGCAGGGATTTACAACTTCATGATAGAATGACGCTACAGATACAAATTAATGATTTTGAATGAACATTTGAAGTTGAATGTCACAATGATCCGTACCAAGATATTCGTTTACACAAAATTACTTAAAATACTTATTAATTAATCAAACGTCTCGTCCCCTCAATAACAAAAGAATGGTTTATTATGCAACTTTCAAATATTTTTGTCAAATTTCACATATTCGTAAAGTGTGCAGATTTCAAATATTTTGCTTATATTGCACTTGTTGAATGACACATTCAAGTCGTGTTTGCATAGGTCACATGATCGAAGGTCATCATTTCTATAACGTTGAATATTTAACCTATTTCCGTTAACTTTTATCTTTATGATTTTATTCTAGATATTTATTAATTAACTATTAAAGGTAAATGTATATAAATAATTGACAATCTATTGTCCTTTATAAAGCCTTAAGAAATTTAGCTGATATTTGTTAATATATCTTATGTTATACAAATTTAGCACCGATATAAACAATTAACATGCTTTGTTAATGATATATTAACTGTTTGATAATATATCTTTAAAGACTCACGCCTATCTGCTCATAATGATTGTGTTTCTCGTTGTGTTTCTTCACTAACCTTATCAATGCTCTTCTATTTATTTTGATCTATCTGATTTTGTTTATATGTGTTTAGTTTTAGGATGTCCTGTAGGATGGACCCAATTTGAAGATAATTGTTATTGGTATGATCGCACACCTGTGACATGGGAAACTGCCAAAGTAATATTATTTTCTTTTATTATCCTATACGTTAAACATTTTCCACGATTGACGCCTCTACGTTTTTTAATTGTAAAATACCCCATCAACATCATTTTTTTACAACATACTGACCCCCAAAATGATATAAGAACGTTGTACCTTGCAAAACAGCTTTTAAAACAAGGTGCTTTTTTTTATTTTGACAGTTTAATCATTTTAAAAATAGTAGGGGGTCGGTTTAACGTCACGTTCGGGGATTCCATAAAATTATAGTATCTTTTAATAAAAAAAATAACATCATTACCGAGAAACCCGGGCTAGGGGATGTATTGAGGGAAGGGCTTTTGTCCAAGCGGAAAAATGATAAAAATTAAAAGCAGTATAAACAGACAAATTGTTTAAATACAGATACAAAATATATCTAGTATTATATAGATAAATCCATACATGAATTTATTGAATACAAACTGCAAAACATAACTATTTTAAACATTTTATTCCATTTTACATTTAAAAACGTTTAAAATAGATACATTTTAACCGATTTCACAGAACATTTTTATACTGTTGGCGATGTTTTTCGTCCAGCGATAAAATGTCCCTTATCATCTCTTATTGTGCATGTAATAGTGTCCGTTACTTTATGTATTTTGCATTTTCATCCTTAGTACGAGGCGGCAATATTGGATTCTATATGAAAAATGACAAATCATTCCTTTTTCAGAATGACATTATTATTTTATATTGAATCTCCCGTAATTGCTAATTTCTATATTTAGAATGACATCACAACTCTATTTTTAGATTAATTATCTTAATATACTGAACTGGTTCATTATACCCTTATTTCATATTATTCTTTAAGAATGACATCATCAGGTTATAAAATAAAACAAAAGGGACAGCATTACCGAAAAATTGAAAAGATATCTATACAGATAATATCGCAAAGATTTATCCATCTGTTAATCTGATTGATAAAATAACGATTGGTGCAAAAATAACTTTTTTAAACGAACTTTTTATTTCATTAAACAAAATTTAAGATAGATTTATTTTAAGCTAAAATATTTATTGACGATGTTGTCTGTTTGACGTCACTATTCCAATAGCTAACGAACCTTGACACATCGCTCTGAAAGCACAACTGATCAAGAAGGAGTGGGAAAAGGAGTAGGGCGGAGGAAGAAAAGCGAGGAGGAGAAGGAGGATGAGGGAGTAAAAGGAAAGAGGAGGAGAAGAAAGAGTGAGGAGGAGGAGGAAGGAGAGGGATAAGGAGGAAGTGGAACGAGAAATTGGAGGAAATGGAATGTGGAAAAGTAAGGAGGAGGAAGAGTAACGAGGAGAGAGGAGAAAAAAGTAGGATGCGTGCAGTCTTTGTACGATAAACTTCAGCGTAGAGTACCCCGGATCAATCTTGTCCATTGTATTGTATTCTCGACTATTTAAACGATTCCCAATATATCAGCCCTGACAAAAGGAATCTATTGGTCTTTGACGATTAAATGACGGAAGCTAAATATGACCAAAGGATTGTGGATTTCTTAATCAAGGTAAGACACACAGAGACATATCTATCTTATACTTGACGCAAAATATATTACCGCATGAATGGGGCACAGTAGTGGATTATCTTCCCTTGATAAAAACCGAGGTTAACCAAAATGTAAGTAGGTCCAAATATTTGGAATCCTTTGCTTTTATCGTTGAATTTTATATAAGACAGGTTGATATGTCTTAATCATTTATTTACACATGCATTAACAAATATGTAAACCGTAAGGAAAAAATGATTACTTTATGTCAACATATTCTACATCTAATCGCAACATCTAATCTGAATATTACAAATGATCATAATTAGCCCTAATTAATTCAGTCTGCTACAAAGAAATATGCGATAAAGTCCGAGTAATCTAATAGCTTAGGACCTATCCATTTATAGGGAGTATTCAGGGGAGGTTATTCACTACTGTCCCTCATTGGACTGCAAAGATATCGCATTTAATACGCAGTATCTCGTATTGTTCAATAACCATATAGATAGACAGCAAGTGGCGACATTTGCGAGAAAAATCTATCTTTCATCACATGCCATATTTATAAAACTTTTCCAAAACACAACGTCTAGACAGCATGGCTTTTTGGTGGTAGGCTTAAATCGGGTACCCCGGAACTGGCCTGTTTGCGCGAAAATGTATTCGAGATAGAATAAAAATCTGGAAACAAATTGATCCCTCGGAAGCATTAATCACAACAAAATTACAAGAGAATTGCAGAATCGGTTTGATTGAGTCTGTACATGAGGGATAATGAATACGTGCAACAACCCTCACGCCCCCTAGCACCGGCTTGAGCGGTACTCAATTCTCAACACTCAAGAGTGCTGGCATCAATGATCCTGAAGGACCAGAAAAATATCACAACACTGAAGTGTAGTACGGGGCAACTTTTTACAGGTACCACATAGCACTTGACACCTGCTGTTGTAAAGTATAAAAATCTGGAAACAAAGTGATCCCTCGGAAGCATCAATCAAAACAAAATTACAAGAGAATTGCAGACTCGGTTTGATTTAGTCTGTACATGAAGGTTACTAAAATGTTCGGTTACTAAAAAAGAGAAAAGAAGCAGATGAGGATGCGTATCTCGGTGAATGTAACACGATTGTTACGGCTATGAATGATTTAAATCATGATGATGATAATGATGATGATGATAGTGATGTAGATGATGATGATTATGATGATGGTGTTAATTAAAAAGAGCATGTAGTGAGTGGTGTTAAGAGACAGTCTATCTTTATAGAGCCTCCTGGTAAGCGCATGGAAGAAGATCTCTAAGAATAACGCAAACGTAATGGTATATTTTACAAAAAAAAGTTTAGAAGCCTTTTAGTCAGTCTCAAACAGAACAATTTAAAAATAAGTTAATCTGTTACATAGATCAATATTTTAGTACTGGCGTAACTCTCCAGGAATGATGGTTGGAAACTACCCGCCTATATGACTGAAATACTGTTGGGAAAAAGGTGTAAAATAAAACAAACAAACAAACAAACAAACAAAACTATTACCTTCTTGCCGGAGCTTATCCTTAAGCAGATATTGATGAGTTACCACATTTGAGGAAAAAGTTGAGACAAAATAAAGCCCTGATTGACTTTTATGTATTACATTGGGAGCCTATGCAGCAACTAATTCTCCAATCAGCAAAGAAACTTAGACATCAACACAACATGACTATTGCAGAATCTATCAGACAAGCCGTTAAACATAGAAAAGACCTGTTGCAGGCGATATGGACAAATCATGACCTCAGCAATTCTAATAATGAAAGCAATGAAGGAATTCAATTAGGAGACCTGATGAGAAAAATATAAGAATGATCCCCAGTTTTTTACTTTTAAAAGACAAGATGGGCCCTTTAGAAGTATACGATCATAAACAACAACATGGGAACAATATACACCTGAACCAGAGAAATGTATCAACATGTTTAGAACTTGAGTGACGGGTATGTTATTGCCAATCATAAAAGCCATTAAATTGATTGCAGCAGTAATTCTCGTAGAGGCTGATAACATTAGAATATTGTAAACAAGGAAAAGCGGCGTTCACTGAACGAAACCCTCACACGATCCAGCAACAAGAGACAATGACAAGGAGCCCAGGTGGACCCCATTAAACAGGACAACACACAAGGGAGAAGCCGAGCTCAAGGAAGCGGCGTTAACCTAAAAGAAACAGAAGAGAAGCTCTAAAATACACAACGCCCTATGGACATATGGTAAGCCCCGTATCATAAGAGATAGAAACGTCATTATTCGCCGTATTTAAAAAAAAATGCCGTAAAAGGGACAAAATTGTAACACATCAATAGTCGTATTACTTCCCTTAAATAAAGGAAGCAACAAATGTTTAATACAGTTAATATTTACCGATATATATATAATTATACCCACGGCCAATTATATTTGTTCAAATCGAGCAGCATTTTATAAGCTTAAATAATTAAACTTTTATTTTACGATATTTGCAATAATAAAAAGAAAAACTTCTATATGATCAAAATACTTTTAAAATAGGCGAGGCTTTATCATAAATGAAAAGGGACAATAAATTAGAACAGCCTTTTAATTCAAATCGGCTGTAGGAAATTTAAAACTTTCTTTGAATACTGGGTATATATCTAATAAAATTCAAATCTTTGAAAAATGTGTGTCTGTTTAACAAAATCGTAAATAAGAATCTGAACGTTTCGGGCAGTGAATATTACTTAATTTTTTCGATATTAAACCGACTAATTAGTAATATTTATAACTTTTGAGATATAAAATACAAGTTTCTAGTTATACGTTTATTTAAACGCTTTTATTTGATTTATTAAAGCATTTCTTATACGTATAATTTAAAAACGGCCAAAGTAATTTGACGTATAATAAAAAGGATTCTTTTTTCAGCAGCTTATTAAAATGTCTTTATTACGATAAATATAAAATATCGAGAACAAACTCACCTCGGGCTTTTAACAAAAACTCTGAGTTTTTATAAAAATATAAGGACAAAATTTAAAAGTACGTCTTATTTTTTTAAAAGTATAATTAATAAGTTTGGAATATGTTTTGTACATTTGCGGGTATAACGATTCAATTGATAGTTAATTCTGGTTAGTAACGGTACCATTTTATTACTTTTAAATGATACCCCTATTTGTTTACTCTGCTATGATTACCGTATATAACGGGCCGTGAAACACAGTTTCATTCATCGCAACGGTTAAGTATGTAATTTGAACGATTTCAAAAGACAAATTTAGAATACGTTAACAAAATCGAAATTGTGATTCCGTGCTAATAATTATCATATAATAATAATAATAATAATAATAATAATAATAATAATAATAATAATAATAATAATAATAATAATAATAATAATAATTTTATTCGGTAAAAGTGTAACCTTCCAATCGCACTAGGGTTCGT